GTGTTGTATAGGGTTTGTGGAAGGCGCGGTTTGCTGTGGAAGCGGGTTGTGCGGGGGATTTGGGGGGGTGGGGGGTGGGGGGTTATGGAGGGGTCGTTTGCTGCGAGGGGGACTCGCGATGGGGTGTCCGCGGGTGAAGGCGGGCCGTCTTTGTTTTGGTCCTTCCCGAGTGCATTCGCGCGCGTCGACCGAATGTGGAAGGGCCTTAGCGCGTCTTCGGGAGGTTTATAATGACAGGCCTGGACAGGCATGGCGGTAGCACGTGTCGCCGTCGTCGTTCCGTTTTCCCGCCACGAGGACGCGACCTCGTGGACGGTCTTTCTGCTAGTGTCATTTCAGTGCTGCGCGTCCGGAGCCGCATAAATGTCGTCGCACGAGGGTGATTCCACAACGCTTCTCGCCGTGCCAGGTGCACACTTCCCACTGCGCATCTGCAGTGCCACAACGCTTCTCGCCGGGCGCGGCACAAGGTTCCCGCCGCGCATCTGCAGTGCCACAACGCTTCTCGCCGGGCCAGCTGCACACTTCCCGCCGCGCATCTGCAGTGCCACCAGGCTTCTCGCCATCATCGCTTCCGCTCTTCTAGCAGTCACTCTTCTCGCCGCGGAGCACTCCCGCCATCGCGAAGGACAGGTGTCGCCGGGCACATCATCCTTCCGTGGTGCGCCTGCGCGTCGTCGTCATCCTGCAGCGGAGGACACATCTTCAGCGTCATCGGGATAGCCTGTCTCGCCAGGCTGGCAAGAGACAGGTGACATCTTATTCGACGAAACGGCACACGCCAGTCGAGCGCTACACCGAGATCGCTTGTGGGGGTCCCCAACGACCATGTCTGCGCGATTGAACGCCCGTTGTTAGGAGAGAACCCGGGGAGGGGCTACCTACCGTTCGCTGAAGCCATGGGCTACGGCGCCTGTCACTTCGCCGCGCCCGCTTCCGAGGTCCTCGGCGACCAGTAGGGGTGATATCCACAAGTTTTCAGAAATTGGTTTTAGGAAATAAACAGCGATAGTAAATAAATAAAAGAATAGCAAAGTCAAAACTAGAATTCTCTCTCAATCTGTCTCTCACTGTGTGTGTGTGTATGTGTGTGTGCGTGCGTCCGTGTCTGCTTGCGTGTGTGTTATGTGTGGGCGCACTTCTACCACTGCGCTGCCTTGCTTCAGAGTTCGGAACTTCCAACTTCCTCAAAAGACCGCTGTATCACTGTCCCCTTCTCCTTGCGTGAACCAGCTCCCGCTCTCTCTCTCTCTCTCTCTCTCTCTCTCTCTCTCTGTGTCTATCTCAGTCCCTGTCCCCCTCTCTCTGCGTGAGTCTGTTCTCTCTCTGTCTCTCTCTCTCTCTCTCTCTCTCTCTCTCACACACACACTCACACTCACACACAGCACGAGACTGGACAAACCGGGCTCGTTTGTAGTACCTGATTCACTTTTTTCTTCTCCCCCACTTGTACGGGCGTCTCACCAGAAAATGGCATGGAAGTGAGCCTTCAGTTATTGCATGGAAAAATACACTACCATTTTCTTTGTGCTCGGTGCGCCAAGAGTCTTGCTAGATCAGTAAAATCCGTGAGGGGAACGGAAATGTATCTTCAGCAGAATCACCGGAGGATGTGTTGGCATAATCTGCGGCCCTCCCCCCCTTTACACACCGGGTGAAGTTGGCATGAATCTTTAGCTAAAATGCGGTAAGAAGCGTTACCATTTCCTTTATCTGCTCAGCATTCTGAGCCGTGCCCACCAGAAAAGAAAGCATAAATGTATCCACCGCTGGAGTTTGGAAAGATACACCACCACACCCTAGTTGACATAAATCTTTCACAAAACGGGAAAAGCATTCATCCTCTTATGCTCTCTCTCTCCCTATCTCCCGCTCTTTCTCTCTCTCGCTCGCGGCTCGTTCTCTCCCTCGCTGCGGCTATCTTTCCCGCGCGGCTTCTACCACCCCCGTCGAATTCCCGAGGCCGTTTCCCCTGGTGTGGTTTCGTGGGATGGCAGATAGGGACGATGGGATTCTTGTTAGTCCAGTCACGAGCCTCACTAATTAGACGACGTGGCACTTGGCAACCTTGATGAGGTGACAGTTAGCATTGCCTACTCCCATCATTCACCCACACATGGTTGAATCTCTTCACTTTGACATTCAAAGTACTGTGCAGAAATCACACTGTCTCAACACCCGTTGAGACCATCGCAAGGGTTTGGGCTCTCCCTGCTCGTAGCAGCTCTCCCAGCGTAGCACTCTCGTGAAGTCGAGCCGTGCTCGTTCTATCCAACGAGCCGTCTCATTGGCTCCAGTCTAGATACACGTGGAATCCTTTGAGGCCGGGTACGTAGAATCTAAGAAAATAAGCCTCGAGCTCCGTTTCCCTCCCACTCTACTCTCTCTCCCTCTCTCTCTCGTGCACTGTTGGTGCTCCCTTATCCCGAGCGGCTCCCTCAGCCTCCCGCGCAACTCGTTTTCATTCCCGCAGAGTCAAGGTGATGACTCGCGCAGCTCGTCCAGTTCGTTTCCCGTAGTGGGGAGCCCGTCAAACCATTCACGAGCGTTTCTCTCAGTCGTGGGCAACAACTCTTCCCGCGCGATTCTTTCCTGCGCGCGTCAGTTCGTGTGACTCGCACGAATCTGGACCGCGGCGGGGGTCAGATCCGTGCGCCTTCAGCGGTGAGAAAGTCGATGTCCTCCTGCGCTCAGACACGCGCGTTCTCGCCCCCTCAGATGGTCAACTCGTCTTCTTCTCTAATCCTCCGCCTTCTCTCTCACTCTCCYCCTCACGCTATGGTCTGCTCTCCCCTATCTCCCACACAACGACTCTTCCCCTCTCATTTATCARTTTGTGCATAAGTATAATGATGGGTCGCCCAGCATCTCCAAATGCACTACAAGCCYCATCCAAGGATGCTCAATTTGAAAAGGTAACTAACCAATGATTAACAATAATGATGGGTCACCCAACATCTCCAAATATGTGGAATGCACTACAAGTCCCATCCAAGGAGCTCGTAAGYCCCCAAACGCTTGACCAGCAGGGCGGCTTATAGACRGGCGCGCAAGAACAACCAGCGGCGAGATTACCAGAAGCACTGTTACCGTGAACCTAGCCGAAGTTGTGACAAAAGGAAAACGAATGAACCTTCARCGTGGGTATGGAGAATCTCACTGAAATGTAATGTGCCTTCTGTTTGGAACATCGGGGAATATATTACCACTTTATTGGGTCAAGGAGATCCCTCCCCATCAATGGGCAGCAATTAGTCTTTGCSCARGTGCAATCGCTACACCTGCACTCATTCACAAAAATGAGCCGAAAACAGGGAGGTATCTTCAGCTAAAACATGGAAAGTTGCACCACTGCGGCGCCGCTCGCCTCCTCTTTCACACTCGGCGCTGACTAAGAGCACATACTTGTCTGTTCCCCCCGTGTGATCAGTGCTTTGCCGCGGTGCTCTCCAGGCACACCTCTCTCCTGAACTCCGCTTTTCCCTACGCCTATCGCTGTGTACACCAGGCACCGCTTCTCCTTCCCTCTCAACTCTGCTTTCCCCCTCTGATCAGTGCTTTGCCGCGGTGCTCTCTAGGCACACCTCTCTTCTCTGGTACAAAACTTGTCTCCTGGTGTACACCAGGCACATTCTCTCCCCCGTGGTGCAGAACCTGTCTCTCTCCCGCGGTGTACGTCTTGGAAAACTTCCACTCGCCGGGTACACCTTGAACAACTCCCCCCCTCTCTCTGTCTTCTGTCCCTCTTCCCTATATGGTTCCCTGATCCAGCCCAGCGTGGACTTCGGCCCAGTCCCAACCCGTAGGCCTTCGTAGACTAGAGGTACAAAACAGGTTTAAGGTCCCAGGCCCARCGCCAGTGCAGCGGGMCCCATATAGAACCCCAACGGYCTGGATTTACTAGTGGACCAGTTCAAGTGGCSCARCTTTTACTAGTGGCCCAGCACTCTTTCTTTCACTGAAAATAATACAGTGGCGTGCACCATACTRATGCCAACCCAGGGAATCCATACCATCACCGAACCTGAAAAATAATACTGTGGCGGGCACCATACCGCTGCCGAACCAGGGAATCCATACCATCACCGAACTTGAAAAATAATACAGTGGCGGGCACCATACCGCTGCCGAACCAGGGAATCCATACCATCACCGAACCTGAAAAAATAATACAGTGGCGGGCACCATACCGCTGCCGAACCAGGGAATCCATACCATCACCGAACCTGAAAAATAATACAGTGGCGTGC